ATTCTCCTGCCTCAGCGTCCAGAGTAGCTGGGATTGCATGTGCCAACACACCCAGCTAATTTTGTATTTTTCAGTAGAGACGGGGTTTCTTCATGTTGGTCAGGCTGGTGTACGAACTCCCGACCTGAGGTGATCCCTCCCACCTCATTCTCCCGAAGTGTTGGGATTATAGGCGTGAGCCACCACCCTCCAGGCCAAAGTTCACTTTCAAATAACACTAGACTACTTCACATGTAGAGCAGATAACCTCGTAACGAAGTATTCCCAGTTTTTTTCTCCTGCCCCTTATGACATTGTTGAAATTTATTTCACTTATCCATATGTTATAATCACATAATACATTGCTACTATTATTGCTTTAAACAAATAGTTATCTTTTAGATAAATTAAGAATAAGAAAAATAAGTTATTTTACTTTCATTTATTCCTGGTCCTTCCCTTTCTGTATGTAGATCTGAATTTCTGACTTATACTACTATTTTCCTACTCACTTAAATGCTTCTTTTCTTTTCTTTTTTTTTTTTTTTTTTTTTTTGAGACAGAGTCTCGCTCTGTCGCCCAGGCTGGAATGCAGTGGCGCAATCTCGGCTCACTGCAAGCTCCACCTCACGGGTTCCCGCCATTCTCCTGCCTCAGCCTCCCGAGTAGCTGGGACTACAGGCGCCCGCCGCCACGGCCGGCAAATATTTTGTATTTTTAGTAGAGACGGAGTTTCACCATGTTAGTCAGGATGGTCTTGATCTCCTGACCTCATGATCCACCCACCTCGGCCTCCCAAAGTGCTGGGATTACAGGCGTGAGTCACCGTGCCCGGCCTCACTTCACTTTCTACTTGCTTGCATAGTTTCTGACCAGAAGTCTGCTGTGGTTTTTATTCTTGTTCTCTATTGGTAAAGTGGTAAAGTGTTCCCTCCGGCTCTTTCAAGACTTCAATTATTTTTTTTTTTCAGTTTAATTATGTTATGCCTAGGTAGAGTTTCTTGGTATTTATCTTTCTTGGTTTTCTCTGAACTTCACAGATATGTGTTTGGTATCTATTAATTTTGGAAAATTCTCAAGCATATTACTTCAAATATTTATTTGGCTCTGTTCTCTCTTCTGCTTCTGGCATTCTAATGACGTGTACATTATACCTTTTGAAATTGGCCTCCAGTTCTTGGGTGTTCTGTTCTGGGTTTTTTCATCCTTTGTCTTTTGCATTTCAATATGAGAAGTGTTTTTCCCCCCTTCAGTTTCACTGATGCTTTCCTTGGCTGTCTCTGGTTTACCAATAATGAGCCCATCAAAGGCATTCTTTGTTTCTGTCACAGTGTTTCTGATTCATAACACTTTCCTTTAATTCTTTCTTAGAGTTTCCATCTTTCTGCTGCTTACATTACCCGTCTGTCTTTTCCCTTAGAACACTTAACACATTAATCATTGTTATTTTATTTTTATTTATTTTACTTTTTTTCTAGAGACAGGGTCTCACCATGTTGCCCAGACTGGACTCAAACTCCTGGGCTCAAGCAATCTTCCTGCCTCAGCCTCCCAAGTAGCTGGGACTTAGGCATGAACCACCACACTCAGCTCTAATCATTGTTATTTTTTATTCCCTGTGTGATAATTCCAGAATCTGTATCATGTTTGAGTTTGGTTTCTTTTTCTCTTCCGATAGCTTTTGCTTTGTTTTGTTTTGTTTCTCCAGAGACAAAGTCCTGTTCTGTTGCCCAGGCTGGAGCGCAATGGTACTATCATAGCTCACTGCAGCCTCGAACTCTTGGGCTCAAGTGATCCTCCCCGGTAGCCTGCTGAGTAGCTGGGACTACAGGCATGTGCCACCACACCCAGCTACAGACAATGTTTTTGATTTTGGTTTTGGGTTTTGTTTTGCCTTTTAATATGCCTTGTAAATTCTTTTTGAAAGCTGGACATGATATATTGACTAATAGAAACTGAGGTAAATAGGCTTTCAGTGTGAGACTTGTATTAGTCTGGCTAGGAGTTGGGCTGTGCTTAATGTTTTCTGTAGTTATTGGTGCCAGAGGCTTCCAATTCCTCAGGGATCTTTGGTTTTGTCTCCCCAGCTGTCTTTTGGTTTCCCTAAGTACTCCTCCTCTGAGAAAGTCAGCATCTTCCAGTTCTTTCAGCTTTAACCCAGTTTCATTATACCTCTTGGTGTGGTGGTAGGACGTAGGAGGAGAAAAATGTTCTATCATCTTATGATTATGAGATGAGCAGGTCTCTGGGCTGTGACTTTCACAAGTGTTTCTTAGTTTTTTTCCCCCTCTCTTGGGTGAGATAGGAATATCACAGGGGACTGGATTTGGATAATTTCCCTTCCCCCAAGTAGATAAGGCTCTGGTAAAGTCTTCTCCTAGCAACGTAGGCCTCTGTTATGAAGAACACTCTGGGCATTTCAAAATGGTTACCTTTCTTCACCCTGCCAGAAACACCAGAGATTTTTTCTTGGTTCTTCATTATGAGAACCTGGTGGAGTTCCTAGAGGTAAGATTCACAAACATATTGGGGGAGCCCCTAAGGCTACAGGCCCCCGGGAGTTTCTCAATCTCAAGCAGGTTCACACTCAGCCTCCAATTGCATCAAAATTACCATGTAAGTGTTTTTACCAGCTTATGGCTTTAACAGTCTCTCCTCCAGGTATACAGATCACAGCTGTGTACCTGGAGCAGAAGGTTGGCCTCTCTCCAGATTTGGGGGTGGCAGGTGCCTTGGGAGTTCAGTTCTCTGATAGGTCCGAGAAAAGTCATTAGCTTTAAGCATATTCAGCTTATTTCTTGTTGAAACAGTTTCCAAGTTCTTTACATGTCAGCACTAAAGCCGGAAGTCCCCAAATCTTTTATAATAGGCAGTGAGCCTAACTGCCCTTTGCTCTAGAAGGAACATTACTTTTATTATAACGGACAGTAGAGAAATCTGTCCTTCACTCCAGAGGGAGATATTGTCTATCTTTCAAGGTTGTTTGTTCTTCTAACATTCTTGAAAAGATCATCTGGAATTATCTAGATATGCAGAAATATAAAAGGCCCAAGGAGAACTGTCTCTCAACAGATGTAAAAAACACTGGGAAAATGGTGCCGGAAATAGAGTTTAAAACAGTTGTCCTCAACCTTGGCAGTCCATTAGCACCACCTGGATGGATTTTTATAAAACCAATGCCCAGAGATTCTGTTTCCATCGGTCTGGGGTAAAGCTCCAAGCGTCAGTAGTTTTTAAAAGCCCCCGTGTGATTTTAATGTATAGCCAAGGTGGAGACCACCTGTCTAAAAGTTGATGAGGTGAGATATAATTAATAATATATTTTTTACCTCAGTGCTTCCCAAGCTTTGCTGTGCATGTGAATTACCTGGAATTATATTCAATGCAGACTCTGATGCAATAAGGTCTAGAGGAGGGCCAGAGATTCCGTTTCTGACAAGCTCCCTGGTTTTGCCTGATATTGTCATTCTATTTGAGCAGCAGGATTTTGGCTCACTGGAAACAGACTTCTCATTATAATGTGTCTACTGCTAGACTTGCATCCTTAAGGCTTTTTATAGATATACATACATACAGATAGATAGATAGATAGATAGATAGATAGATAGATAGATAGAGGTGTGGATATGTTCAGGAATGTATCATGTAGGGAAGGAGAAGGTAGCCTGACTCTGGAAGATGATTCTTGCAGTAACAGTAAGGCCCACACATATACATGTGTAACAAATCTACACATTGTGCACATGTACCCTAGAACTTAAAGTATAATAATAATAAATTTAAAAACAAAAAACAAGGAAGGCCTATCCTTTCCCAGGACCACAGAAATACCCTAAGCATTGAGACCACGAGAAATTTGAGAGATGCTTCAGGATGTTGAAAACAAAGATTTAGAACACAGGGCCGTCAAGTCCTAAGTAACAACTTCCCTCTGAGCCTTACATTGCTCAAGTATCAACGGTAGCTGTTGGTGAAGAGTATTTGGATCCAAGTATCAGAGAAATAAAAAGTAAAATCTTAGTATTGCTGGAGTAAAAGCCCTTTCCAGTATGAGTGACCCAGAAGAACACTGATCAATGTCGTTTCTATTTCTTCTATTGGGAGTAAGGGAAACAGCTCTGGCCATCCTCCTCCCGATCTCCTGATTTAATTTCCAAAGGTTATGATGCGGTTGGCCTCCATGACGGCAGAGCTGGCGTCTGGGCCTTCCCATCTCTCTGCAGTGCTGGCAGCAAGAGGGAAGGAAATACCCTCTTCCAGGGCCGGCACTGCTCATGCACAGGCCTTCCCCGGCCCAGCAACACGTTCACTTTCCAGCTTAAATGAGTCTCTTTCTGGCTACACGTATCTTTCATCTGTTTTCTAGAGTAAACAGAAGACTCCTAGATAGGAGTCAGGTTCCAGAGAGCCCATAAGGACCTACAGAGACATGTCTGCTAAATATTGATTGTATTGGTGGTCCTGGGGCAGGAGGGAGGGAGGAAGATCTAGTGCCTTCTTCTTTAATGTCTCTTAACCAAGTTAATACCTGTCCACCCGCCAGCTGCCTCTGGAAGCATTTTAGAAATACCACTTCACGGCCGGGCGCGGTGGCTCACGCCTATAATCCCAGCACTTTGGGAGGCCGAGGTGGGCGGATCACGAGGTCAGGAGATCAAGACCATCCTGGCTAACACAGAGAAACCCCATCTCTACTAAAAATACAAAAACAAAATTAGTCGGGCGTGGTGGCAGGCGCCTGTGGTCCCAGCTACTCGGGAGGCTGAGGCAGGAGAATGGCGTGAACCCGGGAGGCGGAGCTTGCAGTGAGCCCAGATCACGCCCCTGCCCGCCAGCCTGGGCGACCGAGAGAGACTCCGTCTCAAAAAAAAAAAGAAAAAAGAAATACAACTTCATAGTGAGGAGACACGTTATCCTTTCCCACCGAGCCTGGTGTCTCTGAGTTTTCTAATACAGATTTGCTGAAATGGGAACAGGAGGTCTTTGCTTTTCCTGACCTCTGTGCGTCTCACATCCATCAGAAAGAACAATGCCATGGCGAGGTACTCAGAGCTGAGGGAGGAAGATTGCTGCAGCCTGTGAGCTAAGCCGAAAGAATATCCCGGGCTTCTTTGGGATCCGATGTGGACTTGGTCCCGCTGCAGGTACTCATTCAATACCTCTTTATGATGCGCCATTGCGTGCTTAAGTGCTGAGGATTCTCAATGACTAAGGCCTTGGCTCTGCCCGTGAAGGGCTTAGAAGCCCAAAGCCAAGGTTAATGGTAAAGCTAGGCCGAATTGCTTAAATACTCAAACAGAATACATCTATTTGCTTGTTGAGAGAAGTGAACATATTGTCATCCAAGGATGTGAGAGGCTAATAAAGATGGGGATAGGTGGTTCCACAGGCCGTGAATCCCTATGAAAAGACATAAAGTCCCTTGGCTGAATGCGGTGGCTCACATCTGTAATCCCAACACTTTGGGAGGCCGAGGCGGGCAGATCACGAGGTCAAGAGATCAAGAGCATCCTGGCTAACACGGTGAAACCCCGTCTCCACTAAAAATACAGAAATTAGCTGGGCATGGTGGTGGGCACCTGTAGTCCCAGCTACTCGGTAGGCTGAGGCAGGAGAATCGCTTGAACCAGGGAGGCAGAGGTTGCAGTGAGCCAAGATCACGCCATTGCACTCCACCCTGGTGACAGAGAGAGATGCTGTCTCAAAAAAAAGACATAAAGTCCCTGAAGGTTGGAAATAGTCTTCAGCCCATTCCAGATGTTTTGCATTAAAATATTAGCCATAACTCTCCTGATGGCAATCCTGAGCCCAGACCCATAGTGGGAGAGCCTATAGGAACAGCAGGATGCCCCTCAGCCGGCGAGGGAGACCTGGCTTTTGCTCTCTAAATTCCCTCTCATCAGTGCACAGTTGAAAACTAAAAGGTTTCAGGAGCCAGGCACAAAATACAAAAGTGTGAGACCAGAGGGACTGCAGGAGCTATGTGTATTTTAAAGGCATTCAAATTCAAAACCAAAGTCAGCAAAGCATCTCCTGCCCTTTTGCTACCTTAGCAATAATCTGTAGAGCCGCTCTTGACAATCTGCCTCGCCATTTCCATCGCCTTAAGTCTGGGCATGTCCCTTTGCCTCTTCAACACTTCAACTGCCTCAACAGTTAAATAAGGATGATAATACCCAGCCTGCATCTATCACCGGGTAATTGTGATAATTTAATTATCCAATAGCTATAAAGCACTTTAAAACTATAAATCACTATAAAGCTGCAAGCAATTTAACCAATACCAAGCCTTCCTTATCTCTGAATATTTAATTTATGCTCTCTCTTAGAACGTAGGGACATATATTCCAATATATTTTCCAGACTTCCACTGATAATATTGGTTGGAAAAAGTACCTTTTTCCTGTTTCCCTGACTTGTTGAGAGCGTGGCTTCTGCAACTGTTACCCGGCTGTCCTGCAGCAAATCATATCAACAAATATTTACTAGCTGCTGAGCTAAGCCTTGTAGGAGATACAAAAAAGCATGAGATTCACTTTCTGCACTAAAGGAGCAAACTGCCCAGCTGAACCACAGAACCTGTGTATTCTAGAGACGAAAAAAATGCCTGTGCTCCCTGGATGCCCCCAATATACCTGAAGCTTTACTTCAAATACAAGAAACAGCTGGTGTTCGTGATTTAAGGCTCAGTACAAATAGCAGAGAGAATTTATTTTACAAGCTGCCTGGGTTGGCAAAATTCCAGAATTCATCAAACAGAAAGATAAGGATGATGATGATAATGATAAAAATGATTCTGCATAATTAGTCTTCCTATAGTAACATAAAAGAAGCGCAGTCTACATAGGACATTCCAGAGTTGGAACATGCCCTCAACATCACCCAAAACCGATTTACAACAGGGCCTTTCCAAGACCTGTAAAACCCAGTGAGCCTTTATGTTTGACATGGTTGTGTTTGGAAGCTGGACCTGCGAAGGTTTCTGGCAGTGATCCTTTGTCTTAATCTCATAAAGGAAACTCGATATCTATAGAACCTGGGGAAAATCCCAGAGAAAGAACCCCAATATTTCCAAACCCAAATAATAATAAAAATTACTTAACATCCAGCTAGTGTTTTTCCGTGATCTGTTGAGATCTTTGTTATTACATTTCATGAACAATCTGAAGCAAATAAGTCTCTCACTTTAGGGAGAATGCTGAAGACCTAATTTATAAATGAATTTCCACCACTCAGTGAGAATAATTCTTTTTTGTTTGTTTGCTTGTTTGTTTTTGAGACAGGGTCTCACTCTGTCACCCAGGCTGGAGTGCAGTGGTTTGATCATGGCTCACTGCAGCCTCAACCTCCTGAGCTCAAGCCGTCTTCCCATCTCAGCCTCTCAAGTAGCTGGGACTATAGCCACCACACCTGGCTAATGTTTGTATTTTTTTGTAGAAACAGGGTCTTGACCTTTTGCTCAGGCTGGTCTCAAACTCCTGGGCTCAAGCAGACTGCCCACCTTGGCCTCCCCAAATGCTGGGCTTACAGGTGTGAACTGCCAGGCCCAGCTGAGAATAATTCTTTTACTTTTTATCTTTTTTTTTTTAATTTCACTTTAAGTTCCAGGATGCATGTGCAGAACGTGCAGGTTTGTTGCATAGGTAAACGTGTGCCAGCTGAGAATAATTCTAACACATACCAAGAGCTTCTACTGCCAGGTAAATATCTGAATGCTTTAATACTCACTTAGTTAATTCTCTTGATAAGTCATTGCAGATACTGTCGTTATTCTTCTAAAGATGAGAAACTGAGGAGCCCAGAGGTTATCTCATGGGCCAAAGTCATGTGGGTTGGTGAAAAAGTTGGTCCATTCCACAGCTTTCCACCACCTGTGACCCAGAATACAGAAGTGGCTATGGTCTGCTCCCTGCCTCCCGGGGGCTGCAGTCCAGTGAAGGGCTCTGGTGTCAACTTGACAACAGCTAATGCCAAAGATATCCCTCATTCTGTCAGCTACTTCACAAAGATCTTCTTTTGGTCCCCAAGAGAATTGGGTGCAAGACCTGGAGGTGGCTAGGAGAAACCCCTCCTCCCCAGTACTGCAAAAAAGAGAACTCAAGACATTTTTCCCCATTATTGATAGATTATACTTTCTCCATCCTCATTGATGTCTTACTGGTGGAAAATTCCCTACAGACTGATTTGATGAGGTATGAAAGCCTTTCAAACTTAAATGTGCTTCAGAAATGTAAGTCGCTACCAGGCATGGTGGCTCATGCCTATAATCCCAGCACTTCGGGAGGCCAAGGCAGGAGGATCACTTGAGCCCAGGAGTTTCAGACCAGTCTGGGCAATGTGGAAAGACCCCATCTCTACAAACGATTTTTTTTTTTTTAATTAGCCTAGCTACTCCAGAGGCTGAGGTAGGAGAATTGCTCGAGCCTAGGAAGTCAAGGCTGCAGTGAGCTGTGGTTGTGCCACCGCATTCCAGTCTAAGTGACAGAGGGGAGATCCTGTCTCAAAATAAAAAATCTAGCCCACTTTTTTCACACGTTTTGGGGAAGTAAACAAAGAATACAAAGAATAAAGTTAAGAATAGTTTATATTACTATCTTCCCTAGCTTTCCAAATCTAGACAGGCTCTGCTACCACCCATCACTCTCCTGACAGCAGTCTGTTTTCTTTTATTTATAGCAGCTCTCCTCACCCAAATTAGCTTCTTAATTTAGTTACTTGAGTACTTTACTTGAGTACTTCCAACTACAGTGAAATTTCATGCAATAACAGATTTTGTCTTCTTGTTTGCAATAATAAAATAATAACACTGTCTCAAGAGCCAGGTGTCGTGGCTCGTGCCTGTAATCCCAGCATTTTGGGAGGCTGAGGTGGGAGGATGACTGGAGCCCAAGAGTTTGAGGCTACAGTGAGCTATGATTGCCCCACTGGACTCCAGCCTTGGTGACAGAGCCAGACCCTGCCTCTAAAAAAAGGAAAAAAACTGTCTCTGGCACGTAGTAGGTACTCAATAAATCCATGTTGAATAGTACAATTTTTGTTTAAAATTAGTATCTTTATAAACATTTTTAAAATTGTTTTTCAAGTCCATAGAAATAGATTAATTACAACCCATGGTTAGTGACACACCCTTCATTGATCTATGCATGCTCCTCCTTTTTTTTTTTTTTTTTTTTTTGAGACGGAGTCTCGCTCTGTCACCCAGGCTGGCGTGCAGTGGCACGATGTCCACTCACTGCAACCTCTGCCTCCTGGGTTCACGCCATTCTCCTGCTTCAGCCTCCCGAGTAGCTGGGACTACAGGCGCCTGCCACCATGCCTGGCTAATATTTTTTTTGTAATTTTTCAGTAGAGACGGGGTTTAACTGTGTTAGCAAAGATGGTCTCGATCTCCTGACCTTGTGATCTGCCCGCCTCGGCTTCCCAAAGTGCTGGGATTACAGGCGTGAGCCACCACGCCCAGCCACATGGTCCTCTTTTAATTATTTATTTAGCTACTTAATTAAGTTTTTTAAAAAATCATATAATAGGCCGAGAGCAGGGGCTCACACCTGTAATCCCAGCACTTTGGGAGGCCAAGGCAGGAGAATTACTTGAGGCCAAGAGTTCAACACCAACCTAAGCTGCATAGGGAGACCCTTATCTCTACTTCAAAAAAAAAAAAAAAAAAAGTAATAAACACCTGAAAAAAAACAGAATCTAAAACAAAAGCTAAGGTTCATCCTCTAACCACAGGGCCCTGTCTCTCTCTCATCCTTTACCTCTCTCCATTTGAAGGAATCATCATTCAGGAATCCCAGGTTCTTCATTTCCTGTGGTCTTAGTCTCCCTAGAAGCAGAACCCGAGATGGAGATTCTTATGCAAGTGATATGAAGGGGAGTGGTCTCAGGAGGCGAGTGAAGGAAACAGGCGGGGCAGGAGAAAAGGCTAAGCAAGGATGACTTGCCTGAAATCGTCTGGAGCTCTAGCCCAACCCCATGGGAGCTCGGGAACATTTGTTGTGCCAAAGTGTTGATCTCACCTGGAAGCAAAGAGCTAGCCATGTGTACTCCTGAGCCAGTCTGTCATGGGTAGACATTTGGGAGGATGGTAAAAGAAAAGACAGGTGCGCAGCCTCCTGCGTGAGGCAACCCCCATTTGGCCAAGAGCAATTCTCTAGAGAGGGACGTAGCCCTGAACATTGGCAGGCAATACTTAGCTGCTGGGATCTGTGCACTCAGCCAGGAAGTGGGGTCTGGACATGTCCACTATGGCTTGCTTCTCTTTTTATATAGTTTCATCAAAATTTGTATATCTTCTTTAAAAGTATGCATGTATTTTTTGTCAGGTGTTTGGATCTTTCTATAAAGGAAATCATACTAAATTTTGTTTTGACTATTGTATAATAATCTCTCAGTATGTGAATGTACCACACCTTTTCACCCATTCTCCCACTGATGGTCTTCTGAGTTATTTTTAGGTTTTTATGATTGTGAACAATGTTGCTATGAACATTCTCATATGTCTCCTCTTGTACAATTGCAAGAATTTATTGAGGTCATGCCTAGGGTGGAATAGCTGGATCATAAGGTGTAAACTTGAAAAGATAATGTCAAACTGTTTTGTAAAGTAGTTTTACTAATTCAGCTGCCCACCAATAAGGTATGAGACCCTGCCACTCACATCCTCTCCAACTTTTTGATTTTTGTAAATTGAATGAGTATAAAACGGCATCCCACTGCGGTCTTGATTTGCATGTCCTCAATCACTAATCATCCTTTTATATGTTGATCAGATATATCTGCTTCTTATTCTCTGTTGTTTTTTTTTTTTTTTTTTTTTTTTTGGAGACAGGGTCTTGCTCTGTCACCAAGGCTGAAGTGCAGTGGTGGATCGTAACTCACTGCAGCCTTGAACTCCTGGGCTCAAGCAATCCTCCCACCTCAGCCTCCCAATTAGCTGGGACTACAGGTGCATGCCGCCACACCCAGATAATCTTTTTCCTTTTCTTATAGAGACATTGGGGGCGGGTTCTTACTATGTTGCTGAAGCTGGTCTCAAACTCCTGGGCTCAAATGATCCTTCCACCTCAGCTTCCTGAGTAGCTGAGATTATAGGTGCTTTCACCACACCCAACTAATTTTTTATTTTTATTTTGTTTTTATTTTTGTTGAAACAAGGGTCTCACTTTGTTGCCCAGGTTGGTCTCTAACTCCTGGGCTTAGGCAATCTTCCCACCTCGGCCTCCCAGAGTGTTGAGATTACAGGCATGCACCACCGTGCATGAACTGTGCTTCCTCTTTTGCGAAATGCTTGGTCAATTTGGCACATTTTTCTATTGGCTTATCTGTGCTTTCTTTATTGATTTGTTGAAGTTCTTCATGCATTCTTTGTCTGTTGTGTGTATTAGGAATATGGTGAACATCCTCTCTTGGCCTTTAACTTGTTTTCTCCCTTTCTATAGTATCTTTTAATGAACAAAAGCTCTTAATTTCATTATGGTATCTGGCATTTATGTCTTGTTTAAGCAATCTTTCCCTTGGCCGGGTATGGTGGCTTACACCTGTAATCCCAGCACTTTGGGAGGCCAAGGTAGGAGGATTGCTTGAGACCTGGAGTTCAAGACCAGCCTGGGCAACATATCAAGGCCCCATCTCTCCATAGAAAGAAATAATAATAAAAATTTAAAATTAATCTTTCCCTTAAGGAATCTGAAGGCTAATCTCAATCCAAGGGGAGTGACCACAATTAGGCCCAGGTTACAGGCCAGCCACAGAGGCAAGCTTGGTTATGCTCACCAAGGCACGGCCCTGTCTGAGGCAGCCCTAACCAGCCAGCACAAGTGACCAGCTGGCTGACTGGCAGGTGTGCTCTGGCTACAGAGCTGGATATATTATGCTATTAGAGCTGGGTGCTGTTAAAAATTCTAATCATAGACTTTAATTAACTTTCCTTGCTCTGACGCCCGCTCACTAAGCAACCTTCTGATTATAATTTGGCTTCCCATGTATCTTGCCTACAGGGAGAAAATGTACTGCTCAGGCCGACGTGAGGATCCAATCCACTCAACAGTTACATGCCACGATGTAAATTAATAAATTCGCATTCTGATTTTATCATCTGCCTCATCTGAGGTCTATAGGCGTGAGTCAGCATCCCCTAGTTTAATCAACATGGACACTGAGACTATCAAGCTTTTGAGTTGAAAAGCTAAGAACTAGACCCAGGACCACAGTGAAATCACCAAGGTAACATTGCCCTGGAGGCCCCTTGGCCTGATGAAGGAGGACTTCTTACATGTCATGCAATACAGACAGGGATTAAAGTCGACTTCTGACATTATAAAGAGTTGCATATTCAAAACCATGGCTTGGTTCTATTCAGGTGAAGGCAAAGAATAGGAGATGATCATGAAACTCACATTGAATATTTATTGGCTTATAAGCACACACCAGATGCTGTACAAATCCTAGGGAGGAGATTAAGATTTACAGAAATGTTTGGAAAAAGCGAAAAAACAAAAACAAAACAACAACAACAAAAGGACAGATGGTACGTGCTGAGGTGAAATGAAACAAGAGGCAGCTGGTTGATGAATTCTTGCTCTACTTAGGGACTCGCGGTCCAGGATACAAAATAGACAGACACACACACACACAAACCAGGACAAGGAAACACAGGATACACCACAGCACAAACGGAAATGTGCCAGGGCGGTGAGATTATCCAGGCCGGAGGAGTGATTTAGGACCTGTAAGATGAGGCCTAGATCTTTGAAGTGAGTTCAAAAGGCAAAGAGGAGGTGAGCCCATTAGGACAGATGGGGATAATCTCACTACCCTGCAATTTAGATGGTCACTTCACCCAGCCTTCCTGGGTGAGCAGTACCTACAGTGACACAGATCCTCTCCCGCCATCCTGGTCACACTGAATAATAAAGGGAGGAGAGGGGTAAGAACTGTAGTATGTAGAAATTCTCAGCGCAGGGAAGGGAAGTGAACTTCTACTTTGTATTCAGGCCTAAAAAAGGAGGGGAGGGGCCCAGCGCGGCGGCTCATGCCTGTAATCCCAGCACTTTGGGAGGCTGAGGCAGGCAGATCACCTGAGGTCAGGAGTTTGAGACCAGCCTGACCAACATGGAGAAATCCTGTCTCTACTAAAAATACAAAATTAACCGGGCATGGTAGCATGCGCCTGTAATCCCAGCTACTCGGGAGGCTGAGGTAGGAGAATTGCTTGATCCCAGGAGGCAGAGGTTGCGGTGAGCCAAGATCAAGCCATTGCACTCCAGCCTGGGCAACAAGAGCAAAACTGTCTCAAAAAAAAAAAGGACAGGAGGGAGGGAAGAGACCTTCACTGATACCCCTGTGAGATTTGCTGCTCAAAGGAAAATATTTTCCAGGAAGACTGAGAGAAATTAAAGGAAATTCTATGTCATCTTTGAGACCCACCTGAAGATAAGCAGTGCCTCCCACAGTGCCACCAGAGCAAGGTCATTGGCTTGGCTAGATGTGGATGAGGCTAGAGAATCATCTCAGATTTTCTTTGGTTCTAAAAATGAGGTAGAGAGAGACATGCCGCCCAGGAAGGGGTGATGCTAAGTGCAGCTGCCCAGCCAGCAGGGTGGAAGGAGAGACAGACAAAAGGCTCATCAAAAACAGCGGGACCAAAATTGAGCAGGCTGGCAGAACCACTCCTTGCAGGGACACCACCAGCACACAGGACTCCAGGGAGCTGGCTGGAAAGGGGCAGACCTGTGTGCTCTACAAACCCAGAGGGCTCTGACTCACACAGGAAGGAACGGCCTCCTTTAACAGTGGCCTCAGTGGGTGCACGTGTGGGTACAAATAAATGTAGACAGAGCGGGGCCGTCGCCTAGTAAAGGTTGTCCCGCACGTGCTCCATGATGGTCTTCAGCCCCAGCCAGGTCTCCTCCGCAGTGGGGATGATCTGGTTAGCTGGCAGGAGGAAGCCATAGGTCCCGGTATCTCTCAACTCAAATGTGAATGCAAATTTGATGCCATTATCATACGCCCAGTCGATGCTGCTCCCACTAGCTGGATCTGTAAGTCGGAGGACAAAACACTCTTGAAGCCCAGTTCCCTCCTGGGTTAGACGGGAAGGGGCCAAGAACTCTGCCTGCCTGGGGTTCCTTCAGGAATCCAGAGTTTGATCCTCAAGTCATCAGTCCAAATCATCAGCCTGATCCCTATGTCTCAGACCATCCTGCATTGGTCTGAGGTGCATGCTGGTCTCAAACCAAGAGATCTGGAACCCTTACTCCCGCCTTATTACTAACTTACTGTGTCCGTCCAGTTGGTCCCTCAAAACCAATCTCTATAGAGAGAGAGTATAGCAGGCAGCCTCCAAGGTAGCTCTAATGATACTTGGATCCTAGAAGTCAAGTCTTTGTGCAGCTCCCTCCTACATTAAATAGGGCTGACCTCACCAGTGTAACTGACAGGATGCTGCAGAAATGAAGCCGTGTGACTTTCAAGGCCAGGTCATAAAAGACACTGTGGCTTCTGCCTTGCTGTCTCTTGGATTACTCACTCTGGATAAGCCAGTTGTCATTTGGTTTTGTAAGGACATTCAAGTAGGCCTCTACAGAGGTTCGTGGTAGTGAGGAACTGAAGTAGTAAATGAAAAATGCAAGCTGATATGGTTTGGCTGTGTCCCCACCCAAATCTCATCTTGAATTGTAGCTCCCATAATTCTCATGCATTGTGGGAGGGACCCAGTGGGAGATAACTGAATCATGGGGGTGGTTCCCCCATACTGTTCTTGTGGTAGTGAGTAAGTCTCATGAGATCTGATGGTTTTGTAAGGGGAAACCCCTTTTGCTTGGTTCTCATTTGCTGTTTGCCTGCTGCCACGTAAGACATGCCTTTTGCCTTCTGCCATGATTGTGAAGCCTCACCAGCCACGTGGAACTGCAAGTTCATTAAGCCTCTTTTCCTTTATAAATTACCCAGTCCCAGGTATGTCTTTATCAGCAGTGTGAAAACGGACTAATACACAAGTCTTAGGTTGACTGTGACCCTGGAAGGCATCTTGACTGCAGCCTCATGAAGGATCCTGAGCCAGAGCCATCTAGCCAAACCACTGAATTCCTGCCCTACAGAAACCGTAAGAAAAAGTATGTTGATTGTTTTAAGCTGCTAAGTTTCAGGATTTTTTTTTTTTAACATTACAAAAGATAATGGATACAGAGAAGGCAGCACAGACCTTGGGACTTCCCTTCACCAAAAGGCTTATGAAAGGCAAGAGGCCCATTTTTCTGCTTCTTCCCAAACTCTACTAGCTCAGAAATTGCCTAACAGTGCAAAATATAGATAATTCTTTTCTTGTTTCTTTTTGAGACAAGGTCTCACTCTGTCACCCAGGCTGGAGTGCAGTGGCATAATCACAGCTTATTGCAGCCTTGACCTCCTAGGCTCAAGTGATCCTCCCACCTCAGTGTCCCAAGTAGCTGGGATTGCAGGCACATACCACTATGCCTGCATAGTGTATGTAAATAGATACAAATTTATCTATTTGTAGAGATGGGGTCTTACTATGTTGCCCAGGCTGGTCTCAAACTCCTGGACTCAAGTGATCATCCCACCTCAGCCTCCCAAGGTGCTGGGATTAAAGGTGTGAATCCCACGCCTGGCCTGGATGACATTAAATAATAAATCAATGTCAATAGCAGCTACCATTTGTTGAGCATCTATCATGAGCCAGGCATTATATCAGACACTGCACATTTATGATCTCCTAGTCTTTAAAAACTCAGTGAAGTAGGTTTTATTGTCCTTGTTTTACAGATGAGGAAATCCAAGCTCAGAATGGATAATTCACCTAAGGAAATACAGATGGAAAATGGCGGAGCTGCAATCTAAACCCAGGTCCATCTGATAATAAAGCCCAGGCTCTCCTCAACCAGTGAGTATAAAACAAGCCTGTCACCTGGAAATACGGGTCTTTTGGCTTTTCTGTGGTTCCTGAGAGCTGTGTGATTCCTGAATAGCATTTGTGATTTTTCTAGGGATGCTTCCAGTGAGACGCCATGCTCCCTCCCTGTGTGGAGGGAGCCTTTCTCTACCTCGAGAAAATACTGAATGAAAAGCAATGGCACCAGAAGTTTCTAGAAGTTACTTATATGGCAAGTCCAAGTATTTGAGAACACATTTGAGATTCAGGAAGGAGGCAAAAAGGCTTCTGCCGAGCAGTCAAAATGACAAAGTTTGTAAACTTCGCTTTATTTGGGTCCCTGCTCAAAGTCTACCTACTGTTTAAAAAAAAAAAAAAAAAAGGGAACACGCTATTAACACTGTTCTGCACACTGTATTTTTCAGTTAACAACTGGTGAGTATTCCCTTTTAGCGCACATAGATCTACCTCATTCGCTTAAGGACTGTGTAGTGCTGCATTGTGTGAACGCACCAAATGGTATTTATCCCGCATTCTCTATACAGACATTTTAGACACTTACAAGGGTTGGGGCTCAGAAAGTGATACTCCAAAGACTGATGTTTTGACATGCTGAGAGCCCTCAGAAGCCACCTCCAAATCAAGGTCCCTCTAACTTCTTATTCCCCATACCGGCCCCACTACCAAGCACAGGGAGGGATTGTCTCTGTCTTTGGAAATTTCCTCATCTGACTGAGAAAGTGTCTTTCCAAAAGAAATGCAATTGTCTTAAACAGCCTCCCTAGAGGTCTCATCAAATAACCAAGAAAGATAAACCACCAGAAGAGATGAGACTGTGAATCATCACCACACCCAGACAGACTTCATCTATTCTTCTGAGGGCAGCTCCAAGAGATTGCCTGGAGGACTTTATCTGCTTAATAAGACAACCTTTGTTCCTGTGCAGCTCCGCCCCTCACCTTCCTGTAATGTCTGCCTCCCACCTCCCCAATCCATACATCTCCTCCCTCCTGTATGAAAAAGGGTGCACAAGCTTCTGTGCCCCATTGGGTTATTGGGTAATCATTGTCTTGTGATTCCCCTGTGCCATGCACACTAAAATAAAATTTTTTATGCCTTTTCTCCTATCGATCTGCGTTTGGTCAGCTGATTTTTCAATGAACCTTCAGAAGGCAAAGGGGAAGTTTTCCCTTGGCCCCTATACATGTCTTCTGTGACTATAGATAATGCTGTCATGAACACCCTTTCTTCCCCCATGTCAGATGGGTAATGCACTAACATTGTAACAAGATTGGAGGAAGGCATATGTCACACATGAGCGTGAAAACCCAATCACCACGCTTACGAACTACAAAAAGTACATGGAACTGCCTTATCCATGAGTCAGATGAACCCAAAGAACTTGTTTCCCAGCCCTTCCTGGAGCAGAATCAGTGAAGAGGAGGGGAAAGGGTTGCTAGAGGCTGTTGGCCTGAAGCAATACAAGCTACTGCTGACAGTCTGGCAGGAGAAAGGAGACATAAAACTCTACAAAGCAAACACTGGAATTAAAGAAGCAAAACAGGCCGGGACCATTTAGCAGAAGGTCCAAGCAGTCCAAGATGGCAGAGTAGGCCTTTAGCATATATGAACTGGGGTGGAGAAGTCCACTTAACCATGAAGAAAGGGGCTTAAATCTCTTCTCCATGCTCCGTTTTAGAAGGCAAAAGAGTGTAAAATCCATTTTAGAATTATTTTCCTCTAAAATGGCCATCTAGGAAAAGGTCCAGCACTTGAAAGGGCAAACGTTGACTGTGTATGTAGCACACACCATAACCTATGGCGTTGGATACAGTGCTATTGTACAAAAATTGATTGCTTTTTTTGAAAAACAAGGACAGACAAGGCCTGTAAAGAATATGGAAGATGGGCTCTTAGAAAAGGTGGACATTTTGGCGGGGCGCTGTGGCTCATGCCTGTAATCCCAGCACTTTGGGAGGCTGAGGTGGGCAGATCACCTGAGGTTGGAAGTTCAAGACCAGACCAACCAACTTGGAGAAGCCCCGTCTCTACTAAAAATACAAAAATTAGCTGGGCATGGTGGCACATGCCTATAATCCCAGTGACTCGGGAGGCTGAGGCAGGAGAATCACTTGAACCCTGGAGGTGGCAGTTGCGATGAGTGGAGATCACACCACTGCACTCCAGCCTGGGCAGCAAGAGCGAAACTCCGTCTCAAAAAAAAAAAAAAGAAAGAAAGAAAGAAAAGGTGGAAATTTTATGTCTCCTGGACAGCCCTCGAGAGAGCCTTCCTCCTCTTCTGTTGGAGGAATCCTATGAGTATCTCCCAGTTTTGTAAGTTTATGCTGCGGAGGAGAGAGAAGAATGATGCAGGAGGACAAGGCCATTATTTAAGCTGGTGTTTGACCCAAAGGCCGGGACCCTGGTGATCCCCAAAGATCTTTGGAGAGGACGTCCTCAGAGGGCACCTACCAAGTCTCTTTTAACTGTCTTTGGCCCCTCACTCCGTTCTAATTAGGCAGAGGATGGAGAAACTCTCCAGGTGTGTTGTCTGAAGAGTTCCCACTTAGCAACACTAATATCAAGAAACCATGAATTATTAATGGATTGTTGCTGCAATTAGCAACACAAACACCAACATCATCTGATGGCATCTGAAACAGAGACAAGACTGTTGAGATGGAGTCCAGAGGAGGGCCCGGGGGTGGATGGAGAATCTTCCTGAAAGAGGGGTTCTGAAGCGAAGCCAGTTGAGGATGAGTCCAGTTGGAGGGGAGAGTGGGTGGAGAGTTGAAGAGGACAGAAACAGCAGTGAGTTTGCAGGGGTTCTCAGGGTGGATCACCTATTGAGACACCATTATAGAAAAGGCAATAGAGGGGAAAGAAGGGTGCGGTGGCTCACACCTGTAATCCCAGCACTTTGGGAGGCTGAGACAGGCAGACTGCTTGAGCCCAGGAATTTGAGATCAGCCTAGGCAACATAGTGAGACCCTTTCTCTACAAAAAAAATACAAAAAATTAGCTGGGCATGTTGGTGTATGCCTGTACTACCAGCTGTTCAGGAGGCTGAAGTGGGAGGATCACCTGAGTCTGGGGAAGTCGAGGCTGCAGTGAGCCAAGATTGCACCACTGCACTCCAGACTGGGTCAGAGAGTGAGACCCTATCTTACCAAATTTAGAGAAAAAAAGGAGGGTACCACCTTAAGGGGGATCAGAGTTGCACCTGCCATGTTTATACAGCCATGCATCACTTCACAATGGAGGTATGTTTTCATCATCATGCAATGTATTTACACAAACCTAGATGGCATCGCCTCCTGCACACATAGGCTATATGGCGTAGCCTATTGCTCCTAGGTTACAAGCCTGCACGGCATGTTACTGTACTGAACACTGTTGGCAGTTGTAACACAATGGTGAGTATTTGTCTGTCTAAACAAATCTGAACATACAAAAGGTACAATAGGCCAGGTGCACTGACTCATACCTGTCATCTCAACAGTTTGGCAAGCTGACAAGGGAGGATTGCTTGAGCCCAGATAAACATCCCTTCAGGTATTTTCTTCTCACAGTCTACAAGATATGCTCAGCCATAAGGCATTCACCTCCATTTCATCCTCTCCCATGCAAGCCCTATATTCAATACTCTTTCAACCTTCTCTCTCTCTTCATAGATGCTACCCCCCAAATCCCGCCACTCTTTTACCTTCATTTTTTTCTTTTTTTTTTTTTTTTTTTTTGAGACAGAGTTTTGGTCTTTTAGCCCAGGCTGGAATGCAACCTCCGCCTCCTGGGTTCAAGCGATTCTCCTGACTCAGCCTTCCAAGTAGCTGGGATTACAGGCGCACACCACAATGCCCAGCTAAAGTACTTCAGTAGAGACGGAGTTTCACCGTGTTGGCCAGGCTGGTTTCAAACTCCTGACCTCAGGTGATCCGCCCACCTCAGCCTCCCAAAGTGGGAGGACTATAGGCATGAGCCACCACGCCCAGCCTCAACACCAATTTTAAACCCCAACCAGCACTCGTGCTCTGATCTAATTAAAAGTTCTCTCACCATGTTTCACCACCTTACTTCCACTCACATAAAGGGAGCCCCAAATTAGTTTATAAATGGCAGCACATCAAAAAACCCTCCCTCCAAGCAGGATATGCCATCATTAAGGGATAACATAATGATACCCACTCTCTCCACCTAAAAGAGTTGTAGAGGCTGCCCCCTTGCCTTTGGGCACATCCTCCAAACAAACAGAATTAGTTGCTCTAATAAGAGCACTAACCCTAGCAAAAAAACACACAAGTTAATTTATACACCGATTCTAAATATGCCTATAACATCATCCATTCCAATGCCCAAATTTGGAAAGAGCAGGGCTATCTCAAGGCCGAGGGAACTCCTATCATTAATGGAAAACTAATTCATCATCTACAGGCAGCTTTACTTCCAGAAAAGGTTGCAGTTATCCATTGCAAAGGACATCAATCAGATAAAAGCCACATTTCTTTAGGGAACCGTGAGGCTGACTATTGAGCAAAACACGTCTCAACCAATCATCGAATTCCCCAATACCTATTTCCCCTCATACAACATATCCCCTCCTTTTATCCTAAACACCAAATACAGCAACTAGTTACGCCAGGGGCACAATTGAAACCCCCATACTGGCTCATACAAAACAAATTAGTCCCACCTAACCCTGAAAAAAACAACTCTTTTATGAGACATTCAGAATCTTTTCCATAGTAGCCATTCCCCTCCACAACATTTCATAAGTTCTCATATACACATAACCCCAGATATAAAGGAACAGTTAAAAGCCATTTCCCATCAATGCTCTATTTGCCAGAAAGCATCACCCTATTCCAACACTAAACCTCTTCTTTCCCAAACCATCAAGCCAGGGGACACCTTTCAGGACAAGACCGCAAATTAATTTTACCCATATGCACCAGGAAGAAAGGCTCAGTTTCTTTTAGTTCCGGCTAATACCTTTTCAGGATGGGTGGAGGCTTTTTCCATCCAACAATAGAATTTCTATTATTGCCTCCAAATTAATAACAGAAATCATCCCCAGGTTCGGGGTGCTTCTTTCTTTCCAATCTGATAATGGCCCTGAATTCATTTATCAAATTACTCAAACAATTGCACAAGCCCTGCTAATGACCTGGAAGCTACACATCCCCTATCAACCTCAATCTTCAGGAAAGGTTAAAAAAATTAGTAACATTCTAAAAAACACCCTCACCAAGTACTCACTCCAAACACATACAAACTGGGTTACACTTTTACCTTTGGCCCTTCTAAAACTGCAGGCACTCCCACCTAAACCTCCAATGCTCAGCCCCTTTAAACTCAAGTCCGAAAGACTACTCACCCCTTTTGTTCCACCTCAGAGTCAAGGCCCGCCTCTACCCACCCCTCTCATTTCCCCTCTTCTACATACCATCCGCCATTTTATTTGGGAATATGCTGACAAATGCCTGCCACAACCTGTAACCGACTCCTCTAATCCCTTCCTACAGCCAGGAGACTGGGTTCTGGTAAAAGATCCCAGTCCTACCCCCAATTCCCCCCTTCACACCTAAATGGAAGGGATCTTACCAGATCATCCTTACCACACCCACAGCAGCAAAACTCCAAGGACTCCCCAACTGGTTTCATTATACTTTTCTCAAGAAAACAGACTTCCCTTCACCACATACCCAAACAACCAAGTCTAAAACCCCTTCAGCCTTTTCTTATGTCTCCATAGGACCCACTTCCCTTCACCTCACCCGAATCCCAAAGAAAAAGGAAGAGAAATCCACGTAAGCCACTTACGTCTCTTTCTCTCCCAAACTTTTCATCGCTTCCTAACCAACCTCATTACAGCCCTTCAGTGGTACCCTTACAAAATTCCCATTCTGCATCCTGATCAGCTCCTTACTGTGTTGTGGGACCTATGGCTTCAAGGAACTTTCCAGGACTTTACTCCTACCCAAATAACTTTCTTCTCTTTTTGCTTGTTTCTTTCAATATAAATTCCCTAATCACATCAACCTCACCAATACAACCACTCCTCGCTGCTCTCAAACTAGAACTCTCTATAAACCTTACACGATCCCTCTTGCTGCAAGCTAACTGTTCCTT